GGAACTTCCCTCGCAGATCCCTCGCTAATTTGCGAGGGATCTGCGAGGGAACATTTCCCTTGCAGATCAGCGAGGGATCAGCGAGGGAATGAGTTTTTTGGAATTTCCCTCGCTGATCCCTCGCTGATCAGCGAGGGAATGTGTTTTTTGTCATTTCCTTCGCTGATCCCTCGCTGATCTGCGAGGGAAAATTTCCCTCGCTGATAGTCGTCGCTGATACTTGGTTTTCTAGTAGTGACGGGTCTCACGAAAACAGGCTGATCTCACATGATTCCAAGTCTATATATATATATATAAGGAATCAAGTTTAAGGGAAAACCACACAAAAAAATTGAAAATCGAGAAGCACCTTAATAACCATTTATCTGCATATAAAAACTACTTTTATTCATATTGTACAAATTAAAACTTATTAGAGTGTTCCGTAGACTTTCGTTTTTTTATGGTTTTCCTTGAACTCAAGCCTGTAAATAGGTGCTTGTACAAAAACTATTACCAATTTTATGAGCCTTGTCGGAGGATTGTGTATATGACAAACAAAGAGTAATCTCCTTGGATAAAAGTGAAATTGTGTGAGAGATCGTTTTCCTTAAGTTATATTTTGATCCAAATCTGTTCGGGTATCATGATATTAATTCGAAGATAATCTCAAATTTTCATTACCGTTTTTGGCAGAAATCGTTTCTTTTTGTCTAGAAAATCGTAATAATTCATATATCAAGTACAACAATAATCCACTTAATAGGAATAATTACTGAAAATAAGTAGTAGACGATCACAAAAATAGAATAGTTACGAAACTCATAAAAACGTCCGTCAGTTGATACACATCAGCTGATAATCCAACAGTGAGAAACCATCACCTGATCACCTATCTGTAATAATATATCAGCTAATGTATATGTTCGTGGAAGACCCATCAGCTGATAACATATTTGTGAGAAATGCATCAACTGATACTCATCAATGGCTATCCTTTTAGATATATCATTTATTTGTGTTTGCAACACTTATAAATACCAAGTATTCGTCCACATGGAACTAATTTTCTTTAGTGTCATTTTTTTTTCTTTAGATTTTGTTTTTGTTTCATGACGTTGTCCTTGGACCCTCTCATATGGGGCCATCCACTAATCCAGGTTTTAGTTAATTTAAATAAGTGTGCATTCCACACCTCTTTACATTACAACTTAACTAACAACCTCATATTCTCATGTGAATAAAAAAAGACTTACCACCGCAAAAATAATTTATTTTTAACTTCATTATTATTCTTAATACTTAAAAGAAATCATCCATTAATTTGGCTCCATTTCTTAGCCAATCACATTGCTATACACACTTAGAACATATATCTATATTCATAGTAAGTCCATTTGCTCGTGGACACAATTACTTTGTTTCTACCTCTTGTCTTTCTTCTTGACCTATCTTGCATCATGGTGGCTAAAAGTCTTGCTACTTATATCGTCATCTTCACAATTTACTACCCTTTGTCGTATTATATACTCTTAACAACATTAAATTCTTTCCATGGTAAAAGTAAAATTTGATTAGGAATAATATCCCATGCAATATTTATTATTGCATGCAATTTTTTTTATACTAACGTATGAATCGTCATATCGAAATTTTGAAAACCCGTTATTGAGGGTCATGATTGTTCCTATATTTGTCTCCTGTTTTTGTTGTTTGGTTTTTATTATCAACACCGAACCCTAAAAATAGTATTACTTTGCTTAACCGCAAACTAATATCTAATATATCAACTTAAATTTCGATTTCTAGTTAATTAATAAAAACAACATTTTAATATGTAGATGGAAGGGTAGTTAATTATTCTCAAATGGAGCAAAAGTCTTGTCAAAATAAAAAAAAATAAAAACATTTTCTTAAGATTTAAAAAGAACTCTATGGGTTTTTTTTTTTCCAATTTTGTAAAGAAAACAAATTATATTAAATTATAAAAAAGGACAAATCAATGAATTATTGCAGGGTGGGGACTGGGGATACGACCACTTGGCATGCATGTATTTGCCTTTATTTAACGTAGTTGGTAGCATATTTTCAACAAAATTTTAGTTTAAATTAATTTAATTAGTATTATAATTAGTTAAAATGTAATTAAACAGATTATTTTAGCTATATAAAGGGTGAAGAGGTATCCTCAAAATCAGAACTCAGATCCCACTTCCTTTACTACAAATGGGAACCCAAAGAAAGGGAATGGCCACCCTTCTAATCACCCTTGCGGTGGTTATCGTTTCTTTAAGCTTGCCGTCACTCACCACCGCCACCTACCCCTACTCATCTCCACCGCCTCCTCCACCAAAGAAATCCCCACCACCACCTGCTCATCATTATATTTACAAGTCACCACCACCACCTCCTCCGGTTTACAAGTCGCCACCACCACCAAAGTATTATTATAAGTCACCACCACCTCCAACCCCGGTTCACAAGTCACCGCCACCACCGAAGAAACCTTATGTATACAAGTCACCACCACCTCCCCCTCCCAAAGAACATTATGTATACAAGTCACCACCACCTCCCCCTCCCAAAAAACATTATGTATACAAGTCACCACCTCCTCCCCCTCCCAAAAAACATTATGTATACAAGTCACCACCACCTCCCCCTCCCAAAAAACATTATGTATACAAATCCCCGCCTCCACCACCACCAACTCACAAGTCACCACCTCCACCACCGCCTAAGAAGCCTTATGTATACAAGTCTCCTCCCCCACCAACCCCAGTCCATAAGTCACCTCCTCCTCCTAAGAAGCCTTATGTCTACAAGTCTCCACCACCACCACCACCGGTTCACAAGTCACCCCCACCACCCGCACCTAAGAAACCTTATGTATACAAATCACCACCCCCACCAACCCCGGTTCACAAATCACCACCACCACCGACACCTCATTACAAGTACAAGTCCCCACCACCACCCGTTCACAAATCGCCACCACCACCTACACATGTCTACAAGTACAAGTCGCCACCACCACCGGTTCACAAATCTCCACCACCACCTACACCTGTGTACAAGTACAAGTCCCCACCACCACCCGTTCACAAATCGCCACCACCACCTACACCCGTCTACAAGTACAAGTCGCCACCACCACCTACGCCTGTCTACAAGTACAAGTCGCCACCTCCACCTCCGGTGAAGAAGTATCCACCCCCACATTACATCTATAGTTCACCACCTCCTCCTCACTATTAAGTGTGACGGCCGCCACGTTAAAAGGTAATTTATTTAATGCAAGAAGCCTTATTTACTTAAATACAATTTTTTATTTATATTTTTGTTTTATTTATTAATTTCATGTCTGTAATCATTTTTTTCCATTGTTGCAGGATTAAAACAACTACAACGTGCTTTCATAAGATTATTATTTAGACCTTCCAAGTCCAAGAATAAGCATGCAGAAAAGAAGGGTCCAAAGTTGTACGGAAAATGGTTGTAGTTCGATCTTTTGTATCCAATAAATTTCAATTTTCTCGGTTCCTGTTTGGGTTTCACAATTACGAAAATAATCAATTTCTGTATCTGTTTAAAAAGTTGTATTATAATAAAACATAAGTTGTTTGAATTATTTTTTCGAGACATATTAGCTTTAGATATAACTTTGATGCAGGTTAATAATTAAGAAACAAATTGTATAAAAATATAATATACTTTGTTTTTATTCTTATTTTTATTAAGTTACTTAAAAATTCTTCATTTTAATACATGAGGTGAGAGATAGGGCGTACGGTGGCCTGTGCCATCATTTCGTTCTTCCGTCACAGTGTAGAAATATAGGGTTGTGAAAAGTGTCACACACTACTTAAAAGATGACATTTTCCCCCCGGCAGGCCCGTTCATGACATTTTATAGGCCTTGGACGAATGTAAAAACATGGCACACTGCAAGAAACAAGGCTTTTAGTAACGACTTTTATCGTCGCTAGAAGTCCATTTATCATCAGAAAGAGTAGATAACAACAACATGTCGTTGCTATAACTTGTGGCGGAAACATGTCATCGCTAAAATGCGCGTCGTCAAAACTCACTTTTGTTGTTTGAGCACTTAAATAGAATCTTCTGGTGTGGTGGAATCCCAATGGAAAATACACAACTACACAAGTCAAACAATTAATTGGTTAAAATATTTAAATTATATTTTCCTTTTTTGTTGCTCAACTAAAATAAAATGTTAAGATTAAAAATTTATGGAACATAACATATATAAGAGACATTACTAAATACATCTGGTAGAAAAAACTTTATTGATTAATCACAAAACCATGAAACAGTCATAAATTATAAGAACAATAAATTGATTGTCAGACAATAATAAAATATTTTATGTATAAACAAAAATATATATAACAATAGTCAACAAAAACAATTAGAACAAAATAATCAAATAGAAATAGTCAATAGAAGCAGAAATTGATAAAAATATATAGCAATAACAAACACATGATGATCTTAACGTTGAATTGTTGAAGCACAAAAACAATCAAGCATATAGAGATAACAGTAGCCAATATCATTGGACCTTGTTGGAGATAAAAAAAATTAGAGAGACAATAAATAATAACATATAATGAATGATCAATTAATTCTTTTTATTTTTGGGCCATTATTATCTACTAAATTCTTTTTGTCTCATATATTATATGCTACAATTTTTTTTTGGTTTCTTTAATTTATCAAATTCTTTTAAACTACTATTATATTTTAAAGGAAATTTTTGGACCCCTGATATTTTTAAGCCCTGGGCGTGTGCTCGTGCCGCCCTCTCCCAAGGAACGGCCCTGTCCCCAGAAATCAGGTTTACCGACGGATTTCCTTGCCATAATGGGATTTATTGGCGGATTCCGGTCACTAGAAATCAAGGGACTCCAGCCATCGGAAATCCGCCGGTCCATTTTAGAAATAAAAAATCAAATTAGTTAACTTAATTTTCTTTCGTGATAATTATAATTAATTAACCAGCAATTGTCCCGTTGGTAATTTTAAAATATTTATTTTTTAAAAGAATCCATTTTTTATTTAAGGAGTTGTTTGTTACCTCTTAACAGTTTCATTAAGAAGCAACCTCTCAATCGTTAAGAGGTGAATCTTGTTTGGCCAAAAAAAAGTCTGTCACTTAATGATTTTAAAACCCTCTGAAAGATTTTGTATCGTGGGCATCCCTTAACCATTCAGCGTCCTAATTCTATTGTAAACAATTATCAAACAAATATATTTCATTTTACAATATATCATGAGAGCCTCTTAATTCTTGTGCAACATTTTGAGTTTCAAAACTTTGAATTTTTTTCAAAAGCAATTACTTTTCCTTTTCAAATGAAAGTCTTTTTTCTTTTAAAACTAGAAGGGTACTCGCGCAATGCAGCGAGATAAATCTTCATTTTAAAGTCTACCTTTTATTCTTTGTCTCTATCGATATGATACAATTTTATGTGGTATCGAGAAAACGATAATGTTTTTATTATTTGAATGAAATATAAATTTGAAGATAACATAAAATTTTGAAAATAATAAAATCGATATTAATATCAAATTAACTATTTAATAGTTATCGTTTTTTGGTGTAACTTATTTAATTCAATTCTTTATTATTAGAAGAGTATTCGTGCAATGCAGTGAGATACATATCGATTTTAATGTTCTATTTTTTTATTTGTCTCTGTCGATGTTATAATACGATTTATGTGTTTTTAAGAAAGCATTAATGATTTTATTTTTGAATAAAATATAAATATGAAGATATCATAAAAATTTAAAAAAATATATATCAATGTTAATATCAAATCAATATTTAAAAATTCTCATTTTTTTATTATAATTGAATTTAAGTTTAATAGCGAAATAATTTATTTTTGGTTTAA